GCGGATCATAATTGATGAGTAGTTTTTTACGATACGATTATGAGCCGGATGTTTTTAAGGTGGATAGCAGCAAACAACGCTATGTGCAGACGCAGAGGCTTAATTTGTTGCCTGTGCCTGCAAATTGAAAGTAAACAAATGTCAACTTATCTGACAATACCTCTACAGATCTATCGCATCTGATGTTCGAAAATTTTCATTTGTATCTCATTTTTTAGAAAGAATGCTGCCGAACATTGACATTGAATTAGGGAGCATTTTTAGAGAATATTCTTGAAACAGCAAAGAAGAATAAGACAAAATGAGGTGCAAAATTGATGACAGTGCCTAGGAAAGTTGACAGGAGATTTGAAATGTTGCAAACCAAGGTAGGTTTGGTAGTTTCACAATCGATTAGCAAGCAAACACAGCAAATAAATTCATTTTGAAAAACATATCGGTTAGCTTACTTGCCACATAATAGAGCTGGTCCTTGCTGCTTAGAGCTTCAAATTGAGCTCTAAATTGATCTTGAGTCGAGGCCCCTCCTGCGCGATCCTGCTGCGTCAGGTTCTCTTGTCTATTAGGACTGGGCTGCAGAGAAATGGTCGGTTCATTTTCTTGATTTTGCATCAGGTTCTCTTGTCTATTAGGACTGGGCTGCAGAGGAATGGTCTGTTCTTTTTCTTTATTTTTCTTCTGTGAAACTTTCTTAACTAATGGTTTTACTGGAGTTAGATTCAAATTTTTACCACTACTTCTTTCCACTCTTGACACATCATCCCTGTCTTGGCAAGTCAGGTTCTCTTGTCGATTAGGACTGGCCTGCAGAGGTATGATCTTATCAATTTTAATTGACTTAGCAGAAGGCTTACTCTGCTCCTTCTCTTGATTTTTGGTTTGTGAAACTTTCTTCCTAAGTTTCACTGGAGTCAGATCAACGTTTCTACTACTACTTTCGCTGGAGACAGATTTGAGTGGGGTCACCTTCGCATTGCTTTCGTAGCCTGTTCTTCCTTTTGTCTCACTTTCATTAGATGTCATTTCTTCTTGATCAGAAGTTGAAGGGAATAGCTCCTGTCTCACCACCTCCGTTTGTTTGAAAGCCCTTGATAAAATGCTCGGAATTTTAGGGTATGGAGACGAGCATTCTTCGTCAGAGCTAGAGGCAAGTCTCCAAGGTTTTTGCCTCTTTCTCTTCTCTTCTTCTGGTGTGCCAAGATCGGACGTGTCTATCGCTTTCCGTTCATACTTCAATGCGTCTTGGTAAGAATCTATAACAAAAAAGTTGAAGGAATATTCTCAGACAATGTAGATTTTTTTCCCCTTTAAATATATATTCACGATTCATGAGGCACTTTCCTCTATTGTAAGTTTCCGAATTTTTCAGAAATAAACGCTGATGGCCATTCACAAATGTCACACATCATTCTCTGACTAGAGGTGTTGTATTATCCATCTTCGTTCATCCTGCTGAGATGGGAACGGAAAATGACATAGCTGGTACTTAAGCTGTAGCACTAAAACTTTACACCTGCAACTGATTTCTCGATATCTTGTCAAACTTTTGTGCAAATGAAAGGTTGGGTGAGTTTTAACAAGCTACTAGCATTACTAATTTAGCTATCACAAATATTTAATTACCGCTTATGAGTAGTGGTGAGCACAAAACTTTCCGTAACCAAAATTTCTATCACCAATCTTTGTTTGAAATGAGATGTGAAGAACTAAATTCCATGATCTTGCGATAATTTTGGACTGAAGTGTCCCATTTAAGCAGCGCTCAGCATGTTAAAGTTGATCGGAATACTTTTCAAATGCACCACAATTTGATAAGATACCTCAAAATCTGTCAGAGGTGTAGTCTTACAATGTTTTGCCTTACCAGTTGAAACATTGTCCCTCATCATCTCAGCAAAAGATTCTACATATCTGGTACCACTGTGTCGTTAATAAGGGTGATTTTTCAAGTTTTGAGACTGTTGGAAAGCTATTACAGATGCCTCCATTAAAAGTATTTCTGTTTGCCAATATCTTTTTCTCCTCTCAAGTTATGAGCTTAGAGACATTATTTTTTAGCCACCCTACATTTCTTTAGCTTCACAATCATATGAAAACTGTGGGCCTCTCTTGATAATTTAATTTTCTGCACCTGTGCCAGCCGCTACTTGGATTTTTAAAAGGTGAGAACAAAAAAATGGATCCTATTTCAGTTTAAAGACTGTCTTAAGGCTAGAGACCCAGGTCCCCAAACCCCCTTATAAAAGCTGAAATTCCCGAACTGCCTTACAGTGAGCCACCGGTGAATAGTAAGATAATGCATCGGTAAATTGAGATTGAAAGTGTATAAATTGAGGGATACTCACAGATATTTGTGTACAATGGTCGGTATTTACACGAAATCCACTCGTACTCTGGAAATTTGTTTGTTTCGACTCGATTAGCAATCAGTTTGGATGTGTTTCTTTTAGGTGGCCTGGAGGGCCAATAACAATGTCCTTTCGAGGATATCCAGTTGGTGGGTATAATAGTAATTTCTTCCCGCCCATCGCTATCCTCACAAGCACCAATGTGATATAGGCTGAATCAATAAAATCAGAAAGAATTAGAATAGAATTTTACACAGCTTGTAACATGGAACTCCAACGCTCTTTAAGAAGACCGCAGAGCAATTAAAGGAAAACAAGAAAACAAAGAAAAAGAAATTAGCAACTGCAGGATATGCGCTGGCAGTAGCTCTTAGTGTTGTTATTTACTAGAAGTGAATAGTTGGATTAGCTTAAGTGAATGAGACAAAATGAGTATGGGTTTGTGGGGGAAAAAAAAAAAAAACAAAAAAAAACAGAAGCAGCAATGAAATAATAAATAAAAATCAAAGCGAAAAAGAAAGTGCAGGAAACAAGACACCGTAACTGACTTATTGATAGAATAATAATGTCATTTTGCTCTCTTTCTGTTTTAAGCTGGTTTAAAAGTATCAAAAGTAATAAGCCGTGCGCACAGTAAGTATTCACATAGCTATTTGCACAAAAGCTGACAAAATTATTCACTGAAGTCGAGCTCGCACAGGAAAATTTTAAGAATGGTTTATTAAGTAATAATACATTCTTTAAAATGGTTTAAGAATTTTTTTACCAACTGATAGATGTAATGCAGTGGCGTCGCATGACTTTCGATGCATCGACTCTTACTCCATCTATACAAATATAGAGAATCGATTTTTAGGGTGTTCGGGGGTGGACACTCTGAGAATCGATTGTTTTCATGAGTTTAAATGGAAGGAGTATCGATAAATCAAAAAATATGCAACGCCACTGACATGAATCAATCACTTTATAATAAGTAACAGTAACTAATTTAGTTGATGGTGAGCTGAATGGGTACTACTAAATAATGGCATCATAGTTTCATTTACATTTCCAGGGTGGCCAAAATATCCTAAGCCAAAAATTTTCTGACTTTTCCCTGATCAAAAACCAAAAATTATTTGACCTTACAGTAAAAGGAAATTTTCAGTTTTACTTGTTTGACAGCTCAAATTCATGATCAGTGCTCTGAAGATGGTGTCCGCTATTATTTGGGAGGCTATTTTCAAGATGTAGAAAGGAGAATGCCATAAAAATTAACAATTCACCTCAAAAGCGATAGAGAGCACTACCAACAGATTAGTCAATGTCTTCCCATGAAGCGTTCAGATTCAAATTTTCGAATCCTCTGACCTCTCACTTAATTCCCTGTAATTTCCTGATTTTTCCAGGTATTTTCAAATTCTCTGATAATCCCTGATTTTTGAGTTTTTTGGCCACCTTGCCTTTCGTTTCCAGCTCCTTCAAGAATAGAACTTACACTGAACGAGTTGAAAATACTGCAGCTATCATTACCTTTCTTTATCAGAGTACTCCATCACCCAACAGAGCAAAAGACAGGAACTGACAAATGACAATAGAGGGTTCAATTCAATGGAGAAGGAAAAGCTTTGGTAACGGAAAAACAACTAAAAGAAAAAAGTAAAGGAAAAGAATAAAATTAGAGTAGCATATAGAATGAAATAAAGTTCAATTGCCAAGGCCACCGGCCCGAAAAAAAATGAGCGGAGGTAAAGAAAAATAATTCAATTAAATACCTAAATTTGGACTAACAATTGTCTTGCTGTCTTAAATAAGGTTCAGTCCCCAGCCTTGTAGAAGTTGATTTACAGGATTTAATTTACGAATAAAATGATTGATTAATCATCTAGAGATTATTAATGCAGGATAGAAAAGGAGAGAAAAATCAACTTGTTCTAAAATGCTTGTTTTTAGATTATTTACAAGATGTAGATGTGAATCTATGACAATGAGACACATAGCGTAAAATGTGAGACCATCTAAAAAAAGGAAAGAAAAATCAGTGATGGTGCAGAATATGGTCCATCACAAAATGATACAAATTTCGCATCAACACAATGAAACCTTGCGAATGCTATAAAACTTGCTCTTTACTAATTTTACAAATTATTTCACTTAATCTGTTGACTCACTATTTGTGGATTATCCAGTTTAAGTTTAAGAGGAAGGTAACGATTGAGATGGATTTTGACACATGGTTTTAAACTAAGTAATTTGCTTCAATAAACCAGTGAATATTCCACTTCTCTGCCTACAGAGAGTAGAATGTACTGCATTCATTTATTTGCAACAACTTTTTGAGTTGGGAGGGATAACATTTTTTTTTCTTTTTTATTCAAAGTCAATAAAAAATGTGAGTGGACACGAGCGCTCCAGAATCACAAAAGCAAATAAAAAGTGTGAGTGAACACGAGCACTCCAGAATTATAAAATGCGAGTCAACACAAGCACTCCAGAATCACCTAAGCAAAGAGAGCCAGGGCATTCGGATGACATTGGGTTTTCTGTCGGTACCCAAGCTTACTATTATATCTAATCAGAAAAGTCAAAATGCACAGTCGAAGGAATTCAGAAAAAAAATGTTTCCACAAAACCATAAATTCTGAAAAATTCCAGGTCTGTTGGAAAAATTTGGCAACTCTGTGTTAAAATCAAAAGATTACTTCCATATCAAGCACTCAATAATTATCAACGAAAATACTCAAAAATCAACCATGCAACGTCAGAGAACTCAATATTTTCTACGCATCTGATAAGTTCATGATAAAAATTCATAACAAAGATACCTGATTAATTATCGTTAACTTTCGCTGTGTGTAAAACAGGAAAAGCAACAAAATCTTGACCACAAGGAAGAAGCATTAATTTATGACAAACAGAAGATATAGGCCAAATTTCCAGTTCTGCTGAAAGCTCTGATTTTACGAGAAATATTCCAAGAGAAGAACTAGGAAGAGGTTTAACATAGAAGTTCCCTTTATACATATACTTCCTCCCTACTAAAACCATTTCCTGATGAGTATCACTAAAACAAATATTGGAAATTGAAACTATGTTGCCATCACTTACACTGCAAAAACAATTTGGTTTGGAAGCTTTCAGGGAAAACGAAGAGAAATTAACAACTTTGTACTGAGGGTTGGAACAAGATTCAATAAGAGGACCATTATTATGACTCATTTTGTACTGTGGCTCAGCACTAATACTTCTAGGCATCATGGGACGGAATTCAAAAGACTCCTCAAGTCGGTTGACCGTTTGAATGTGCGGCTGGGACCCTTTTTTAATTTCTTGTTTTATTTGATAAAGTTCACTTTCCATTAGAAAGGCGCTACATTCCTCTGAGCTACCGAAGGTAGGGACATCCTCACATAAATGCAGCAGACCATGGACGTTGTAGCTAACATGGTACTTTCCATAAATCAAAGCGAAGTCTTTCACAAATTTTTCGAGCAAATTTTTGACGTAATCTAGCACTGGAAGAGGACTCTTGGCACTTAGAAGAATTGACATCGCAACGTGCAAGACAAGGAAATTTCGATACATTTTATTAGGTAATTTATCTTTTAGACACACTGGTCCTGCATACAGGAGAAAAAATCGACATTCTGTCGCTTTGAATCGACACGCATTTTCAAGACTTCTTGGATACCTAGAGAAGTCACAGGTTTTCCAAGACTTAAATCGTAAAAGCCTTCCGGAAATAACATCAATTTGGTCTTCCTCTAATTTCTCAGTTTGAAGGGATCCTTCTAACCAATATTTTAGCAAAGATTTCTTTACAATTCCTAATAACACGAGATGCATATAGTCCAAAGAACAATTTTTGACGATATCAAAGTATGGAATGGTTTCAATGCCACAAGCTGACTTGTGGTGATTGGGATCTGTTTTGTTAATAAAATCTTCATGAGTCCTTGGATTTCCGACTTTAATGGGGAAATAAACTCTATTAAATTTCTTTTTACCTTTCACAACGAATACAAGACCAAAAGCCACTATGGCCAGGCGTACCTAAGACAAAACTCTTTTCAACAGCATCCATTGCAAACCCCTTGACTCTAACAGGAACCACAGCATTATTAATTTCAATACCATTTTCAATTAAGCCTGAGATTTCTGCGACAAATCGTTTCAGAAAATCAACGGCAGAGTCTGGCTTGGCATAGCCATGATAAATGCCTGTTGGAACTACATGGTGCTTTACACAGAAGACTGACAAAATACGGATAAGAATAGGATGAATTTGATTAAGAGAACTTTTAGTTATCGGTAAACCATCAATTCCTACCATGATCTCAATAATCTTTATATGTATTTCTGGGGGGACGTTCTTCAAAATCGCACGGATACACCGTTCGGCACCTACATGCATATACTCTCCAGGTGCTACTATATCGGGAGTAACTCCTTTAGGTTTCTGAGGACACTTCTTCAAAGTACGCGCACAATTTGGGAGGAGTTTAAAGTCTGACGGATTGGGATGACTGTTTAAAATTTTCAGAAGATCATCAATAGCAGCGTTACTAATATTTTTATTCATAGACCATGCCGCTAGCTTATGCTTTAACTCATGGTAGCTATCTCGTTTTGGTTCTGGATGATCTGGTAAATGACTGATGGTTTCCTCTAGTTCGCACTCAACATCCTCAAAATCTGAGCCACTATCAACATCTACCCACTCACCTAACAGATTATTTAATACCTCGGAGGAGAGACCTAGGTTAGCTTCGGTATCAGAGTCTGACGACAAGGAAGCATCATCACCGCGATCAAGATCATCATTAGAATTCAAATCAAAATTATCATCAGAATTCGAATCGGTCACACTAGTATGCAGGCACTCTTGAACTGATTGAAGGGCATTTGAATCATCACTCTCAACATCTGTATCATCATCATCTTCATCATCTAAATCCAATTTCCTTCTCTGATATTTCGGCTTCAAAAACGCGAACTCTTTCGGAGGCCTACCAGTTCGCTTGGAAGCTGTACCCTTCGACGGTCCTGGTACTCCTGGTTGATGCGAAGGAAACATTTTAAGTCATTAAATGCTTTTAGGCTGAGTTGAGATGAGAAAGAGACCAACACGCTTGAGGTTACATGAAAGTTGAAAATTAAGAACTACAATAGATAAATACCTGACGTTACTTTGAGAGAGACAGTGAGGGAGGAAAGGATCAATAGCATGAGAGTAGAAAAACTAGATTAGAATTAATACAATTTGATATCTGTTCCACCTGTTCTAACTACCTTTGGATCTGATGTTCTGCGAGTGCCGGCTGATGGAGAGAGGCATAGAGAGAGAAGAGACGGTTAAGATTAGATAGACGGTGAATCGATGGACGCCATTTTGTTGTGTCAGATCGACATGCTATATATTGCATCGATTAGCTCAATTTATTCTGTTACTTGTCATTTTTCTCGAATTTTGAGATCGCTTTTCTGTTATCATTAGACAAAAGAATTGTTGTACAAAATTTGACAAAGAAATTCAACGTCATAGAGGCAGGGTTTTTTTAAGAGGAAAATATCGCATTCGATACTAGTATCGAAACTGCACTCGAATGCGATATTTTTCCTTTGAAAAAACCTTGCCTTTATTACGTCGAATTTCTCCGTCAAATTTGGTACGTGAATTTTTTGGTCTCATGGCAACAGAAGTGAGATCTCAAAATTTGAGAAAAATGACGGGTAGTTGGAAAAATGGAGCTAATCGATGCGATATATCGCACGCCGCTCTGATACAAAAAATGGCGTCCATCGAATCACCCAGTAGTCACTGTTGATTGGCTAATCGATTTTGGCGCGCACGATTAGCGGGAAACGTTGGCGGTATTTTTAAATTTTCGCTCCTGTACAGTGCGAGCGCGAGCGTTAAAAGTTCAACCCAATATTAATCGTCTTATTTACACGCGATTTTCACAATTTGTGGTCATGTGCCATGGACTAAAGGACATGGCCCACCCGTTATATGGGGAAGCGTGCCAAGAGAGACTCCCTTCATCTTTATTCCATGACCATCAAAAATTGAACTTGCCAAAAAAAAACCTGATAAGGCTAAAAGGGGTGCACCATATGGCGCATTTTAAGAATGCTCACCGCTGAGGCCCTGTTTGCTGCGAACCGGCATGGATGACTATCATATTAGTGCGGTGGGTGTTGCGTCCTACAATATGGAAAATGAAGGCCTCGCATGCACATGCACAAATCATCGAGACATATTTATTGAGTTGGGCTGCGGTCCAATATCAAGCTTCTGATTTCCAGGCCAAAGGCACAGTAGTCACTTAAAAATAGCTTATTTTAAAGAAATAAAACAAAATATAGATACCTACCTATTTCCAGGGGTAATTCTTTGTTACACTAATCTCAATATTGAGAACTCCAACTCCATAATTTTCTTCGCGTATGTTTAAATGAATTGAAATTCCAAAATATTTCACCACAATTCGATATTCCTCGTTGTCTTATCTTTGAAACACGATGCATTAATATTCGTTCGTAAAACGAAGTCGTTTCATAGCGTGATTTGCACGCAGTACCGGCCGCGTTTCGAATGTTGCGCGGGAATTTATAATTATTTGTTTCTAAAACCGG